CCAGAAAAAACACAAAAAAAAAAAAAAAAAAAAAAACACAAAAAACACAACCTATCTCTGTCGTTCTCCCTTTCTCTCTCTTTCTCTCATCAAGGGAAAACAACAACAACAACAACATCTATCACTCCCTCCCACACACGTGTGAGCTCTCTGTCTCTCGCAGAAAAAAAAAAAAGAAGTGATCTTATACTACAAAACTCATGATCACCTATTAGATAAAATGTTTCTAGGGAAAGGAGCAGAGCCTGCAAGGTCCAGCAGAGACTGAATTCTGCCTGCGGGCTGGGGCCATGAATGCCACAGGTGTCAGCAGAGCACCCACGCAAGAACTCTGCGCAGTGGAGGGACTGAGTAGGCGCTCTAGCTTGGCAGGCTAGAAGTGGGCAGGTTGGTTTGGCAGGAGCTGCAGCAGGAAGGAACAAAGGCATACTTCTCAGCCTTTCTTGGTCAGAAAAAAAAGCTCAACGTGATAAAACTAAAGAAAGAAATGGAAACGTACTGAACGTACTCAGTGTCCATGCTTGACATCAAAATAATCTACTTCTCCCTTCATCAGGCTTCACTTTCTAACAGGGCCCCTTAGTGTAAGCAAGAGAAAATAACCAGAATGAATAACGTAATTATTGTAACAAAAATGTTCCTAAGTTTGCGATTGACCAGGAGACACCTTTTGATTTGGTGTGGCCCTCCCGTGGCTGTCAATACACTACCTTTAGCAGAGGGAAGTCACAAAGGACAGAGGCATTGAGTTCTTCCACCATTAAAATAGCTTCTAACAGTTGTATGTCAGCCCAGCTGAATTTGTTGCCAACAAGAAAATCCTCTCCATGGTCTTTCAAAATCTACAAAAAAGAAAAATAACAAAGTATTTTAAATGAAAGTAAGGGTAATTTTGTTTAGCTAAGCACTCACAAAAGCATGAAATCTTTTGCATGGATCAGAGTAACTGAAGAATCTTTTTCTTGCTAATCTACAATGCCGTCAAAGATGAAACCAACTCTCTGAAACATGCTATAAACTGGCACAACCCTTTCGAAAATCTGTCAGTGATTATCCAGGTCCCTTGAGTTTCTGTTACAAGCTTGGAGTTAGGATTCAAACCATAGTCAGCCATGTAGGCTCTAGCTCCTTCAACCACTGAAGTATAGGGTCAGGCCTCCTATTAATTATTTTTAATGGAAAATATTTCAACAACACTGTACATTATCCAAGGTAAACAGAAATTTTTTCATTTAGTATTCTGAAGTGCTGATGGAATTCTTTATTATAGTTTGGTCAATAATAAATTATCCTTTCCCAAAGCTGACACTGATGTTGTACGCCACAGAATGCTTTTGTTCAGCAAAACCTTTATTTATTTGCACTCACAGGTTTTCCTCACCATTTCCCCTGCTGTCCTCTAGGTTGAAACTTCACCCAATATATTGGAAGGACATTTGTCACTAATGTTTACTCTAAAATGACTTCATACTGGTTGTAAATTTAAAACTTTTGGCTTCTTTTTGGGGGGAGGGGAGGGTTGCCATAGGGCATGTGTGCTCTCTGGAGAGAGTCAGAGAGAAGGAAAGTGAGAAATCACCACCACCACTCACCCCACCCCCCCTAGAGAAGAATGGCCATGCCACAGTTCTTTCTCCTCCATTCTCCTCCTGGAACAGTGGACATACATGCACATGTGACTGGCATGACTGTCAAGTCACCAGGTCCAGGACTTGGACTACGACGGACCATGTGGAAATCCAGTGCCTTAACTATCATGCCACCTACTAGCCCCAATAATTTCTTCAAATGCCAGAAGTTAGATGACTGGCCAGAGATAGAGAAGAAGAGGGAGAAAGCACCTCTCAGTGGGACGTGGCCATGCCAACAATCTCCTCCTACATTTCTCTATCCTGTCACATACCATTAAGGTACACAAATGCCATCACTGGCATGCTTTTCAAGCCACTGAACCAAGATTTGAATCGTGGTCAAGCATGTGGAATTGGATCCATTAACTACTAGGCCACAGACTGACCCTCCATATTGCTTTTTGATTGAGGCATGATTCATCCCCAGTACTAAAACCTAAACATGTGGTCACACCTTGAGCTGATGTTTTATTTCTAAAATGTTGGGTACTTTCATTGTACTTGGTTTATTCCAATTCCATTTTGTTGGAGGCACCATAATGTTACCTGCTGTTTGTTCTAGAATATTAAAGTTTTGATCCAAAAGCAGTAAAATTTAAACACGGCCTCTGTCTTTTCAGATACTGACTCAGAATATTTTCCTTGTCATTCGCGTGTGGAAGTGCTATGGATTTTTGGGTGTTGATTTTGTGTCCTGACACTTTCCTATATTCATTTATTGCTTTGAGAAGTTTTTCCATGGAGACCTTTGGGTCTTCTGGGTGTACCATCATGTCATCTGCAAATAGAGATATTTTCATCTCAAAAAAAAAAAAAAAAAAAAAAGAAAAGTCATGAGTCCCTGCAGCCTACCTTTTCAAACACTGGGAAGTAGCGGGTTTTCGCTTTCTTCACAGTTAAAGCAAAGTTCTCCTCTTTTTCCTCGGGGGGTTTGAATGCAGCCAGTGCCATCACCATCATCAGATCCAGGGTTCCGTCTACATACATGTCAATCCTGACAAAACAGCATTGATTCTCAGTCCAAGGGAAACCCTTTGAGTACAGGGTTTCTTGAACTGACCCTCTCCAATGAGCACACATGCCCTGTGGAAATGATTTTTTATTCTTCTCATTAAACTACTCTCATGAACAATTTCTGGTACCAGAACCAGCCAAGTGACTGGGATATAGCATAGTTTATCAAAAAAAAAAAAAAGAATATATGAAAGAGCTAATGTCTTTAAGTTGAAATCAGCCAAAAATGAATGATTCAATTGTTCTGGCTTTAAAAACTAAAAACTAAATTCAATGAAGTTTAACAAAAGCATAAAACTATTAGTACCAGAACCTTCCAACTTACTTAGAGAAATGAATTTTAATTTGTTTGTTTATCTGCTATAGAGCACGTGCGCTCACCTGAGACAGAGAGAGGAAGTTAAAATCACCCCTCAGAGGGGATGGCCACACTGCAACCCTCCTCTTCCATTCTGCTCTTGTGATTTTAGGCATATCACACACATACACCCAGTGTGATTTTCAAGCTGCCAGGTCTGGGACTCAAACCACATAACAGCCCACGCGGGACCCAGTCCCTTAACCTCTATGCCATCTGCTGGTCCTCTTCTCACAGACTTCTTGGGGCCCTTCACAATACAAAAAATTGCCACAAACTCTATCCTCCACTGTTTGTGATGAGATTAGGAAGCTCCTTCTGTCAATAGTTGGGGTTCGTTTCTCAGGGTCACCTTGTGACTCACTTTGACTAACAGAATGAGGCAGAAATAATGAGGTACTAGTTCTGGGCCCAGAATTTTTTTTGCTATAGGGCGCGTGCGCTCGCCAGAAAGCCAGAGAGAGACAGAGAGACAGAAAGCAGGAAATGCCCCCCCCGGGGGGGGGGTGGCCACACCGCAATCCCTTCTCCTCCATTATCCTCTCGGGATCTTGGGCACGCACGCACATGTGCCCGGCGTGAATTTAAGCTGCCGGGTCCGGGACTCGAACCGCAGTCGACTACGTGGGAGTCCAGCAATATAGCCATTATGCTAACTGCTGGTCCTCTGGGCCCAGAATTTTAAAGGCCTGTGTAGCTTCATTCTCATGCAGCATCCTGCCTTGTTGCCATGAGAACATGCTTGGATGAGAAGATGAGAGATACATGGCCCGTTCATCCCTCAATAGCTAGTCAGTCAACACCCAAATCCACAGCCCTCTGGGTAACTACTGTTTGACCACAGGTGATGAGTGAGTCCAGCTGAGAGAGGTTAAGCTCGGTCCAAGTAGGTCAGCTACCCAGATGACTGTAGACTTCTGAGCAGTGATAAATGCTTGATGATTTAAATCACCATGTTTCAAGGTAGTTGTTTTATTATTTGTGTTAACTAGATCATTGATACAATGCTCAGTGTTTGTTTGCTGAGTCAGTCATTTCTACCTTCACGTATTTAACAATAGCTTACAAGGTTGGGCCAGCAGGTCATGTAGTGGTTGAGGCAGTTGTACAATATAAGTCCTGGACCCAGTGGCTTGAGAAATACACTGGGTGTGTGTGCATGCATACCCAAAATCCCAAGAGGAGAATGGAAGAGAAAGGACTGTGGCATGACCATCTACTGGGATGATTTCTCACCTTCTCTCTCAGTCTGTCTATGTTTCTCTAGAGAGCACACATGCCCTATAGCAAAAAGAAACAAAAATCAGAGGGATGTGGAATGTTCATTCAGAATTCTGCACAAAGCATGTCAGACTTCTGTTGGCCTTGCTTCCTCCCCCAGACCAGCTGAAAGGTATACCTGAACCAGATCTCAGTTTGTGCTGGACTGTGGATGTTTGGACAAGGTTCAACTACAGGTATGAACACTATATACCTGACTCTCTCCTTCAGGTCCTTTCCATACAAGTTGTACTTGGCAGCAAGGTAGCTGAGGATGGCTCTGGTCTGTGTCAGTGCCATTCCATCAATCTCAACCAAAGGCACTTGGCCAAAAAGCAGGTATCCATCTGTGGTTTGAGCAAAGAGAGATTAGGATATTCTTCAATGTTGGCAGAAGTCTAGAGGATGGTCTACTTCTAATATCAGAGTGATTTTTTTTTTAAGTATTCATCCAAAGTGAGTTGGAAGAAATGCCCATCATTTGCTTCTTGTAAAATCTGACATTTGTTTAGCAGTTTCATGCATTTCGGAGTGTTGGTTAATTGCAGTTGTTTAAGATTTTCCTCATTTACTGTGACCAGCTCCTGACTCTGAAAGTTCAGGGTGTACAGCCTGGGGTGGGGAACTATTACAACCTCCCCCTTCTTCCTATATATTCTCATTCAGAAGTAGAGTCTGGGGTTTTACATTCTTTAAAAACCACATCAGGGGCACCAGCAGATGGTGTAATGGTAGACTTCTGAGCAGTGATAAATGCTTGATGATTTAAATCACCATGTTTCAAGGTAGTTGTTTTATTATTTGTGTTAACTAGATCATTGATACAATGCTCAGTGTTTGTTTGCTGAGTCAGTCATTTCTACCTTCACGTATTTAACAATAGCTTACAAGGTTGGGCCAGCAGGTCATGTAGTGGTTGAGGCAGTTGTACAATATAAGTCCTGGACCCAGTGGCTTGAGAAATACACTGGGTGTGTGTGCATGCATACCCAAAATCCCAAGAGGAGAATGGAAGAGAAAGGACTGTGGCATGACCATCTACTGGGATGATTTCTCACCTTCTCTCTCAGTCTGTCTATGTTTCTCTAGAGAGCACACATGCCCTATAGCAAAAAGAAACAAAAATCAGAGGGATGTGGAATGTTCATTCAGAATTCTGCACAAAGCATGTCAGACTTCTGTTGGCCTTGCTTCCTCCCCCAGACCAGCTGAAAGGTATACCTGAACCAGATCTCAGTTTGTGCTGGACTGTGGATGTTTGGACAAGGTTCAACTACAGGTATGAACACTATATACCTGACTCTCTCCTTCAGGTCCTTTCCATACAAGTTGTACTTGGCAGCAAGGTAGCTGAGGATGGCTCTGGTCTGTGTCAGTGCCATTCCATCAATCTCAACCAAAGGCACTTGGCCAAAAAGCAGGTATCCATCTGTGGTTTGAGCAAAGAGAGATTAGGATATTCTTCAATGTTGGCAGAAGTCTAGAGGATGGTCTACTTCTAATATCAGAGTGATTTTTTTTTTAAGTATTCATCCAAAGTGAGTTGGAAGAAATGCCCATCATTTGCTTCTTGTAAAATCTGACATTTGTTTAGCAGTTTCATGCATTTCGGAGTGTTGGTTAATTGCAGTTGTTTAAGATTTTCCTCATTTACTGTGACCAGCTCCTGACTCTGAAAGTTCAGGGTGTACAGCCTGGGGTGGGGAACTATTACAACCTCCCCCTTCTTCCTATATATTCTCATTCAGAAGTAGAGTCTGGGGTTTTACATTCTTTAAAAACCACATCAGGGGCACCAGCAGATGGTGTAATGGTTGCATCGCTGGACTCCCACATAGTTGACCTGGAAGGATTAAAAGTTCAATTTAATCAAGTTCCAGTCCTGGACCCGGTGGATTAAAACCCAAGCCGGGCACGTGTGCATCCATGACCAAAATCCCGAAAGGAAAACAGGAGAAAGGATTGTATGGTATGTCCATCCACTTTAGGGATGATTTCTTGCTTTCTGTCTCTCTGGCGAGTGCATGTGCCCTATAGTAAAAATCTCTCTCTCTCTAAAAAAAAAAAAAAAAAAAAGCACATCAGGTATTGTTCTAGGAGTACATGGCACGGCAGCAGGATAGATGTAACTGCAAGAATCTAACAGACCTGAGTTCAAAATGTCAGCTGTAGTCCTTTCTAGCCATGTGACTGTGAACACATTACTTAAATGAACTCCGACTTCCTTTCTCTAAGATAGCAATATCTAGCAGGATTTTGAAAGGACAAAATATGAGATAATAAAGCAAAATACTAATACTGTCAGTAATTAATGTTCAGTAAAATCAAGTTCCCTTTTTTTGTAAGTAACTGCCTATGTAAATAATGCATTTAAAGATATTAATATATCCCAAATGGTACTCTGCTCATAAAAAATAAAGAACTTTTAAATTTTAATTAATATATGTACTTTGTCAAGAATAATACATTTCAGCAAGAAAAGGAGCCAGACTTTAGTAGTACGTTGGCAAAGGCCACAATTATTTTCTCTAACTTCTTATTTTATAAAAGAAAAAACAATTGTTATAGGGCATGTGAGTTCACCAAGAGAAAGACAGAGGTAGAGGCAGAGAGAGAAAGAGAATGAAAAAGTATCCTCTGGGAGGATGGCCATGCTGCAATCCCTTTTCCTCCACTCTCCTCTCAGGACTTTGAGCATACATGCACATACATCAGTGTGTTTTTCAAGACGCCGGGTCTGGGACTTAAACTACTTAGCTTGCCATGAGTCATCCAGCTGACTTAACCACCATGTTAACTGGCTGGCCCTAGTTTCTCCCATTTTAATATGAAGGACCCAATTGATTTAATGAGAGGTATCAAAGATGGTGGGCAGGGCACTTTCTCCAAACCAGTGACAATTCTCCAGACAGCCAGTATCCCTGCGTAGCTGGGAGAGTTTAGGCAAATCTCTAACTTCTCTGAGCCTGTTTTCTTTTCTTTTCCTTTCTTTCCCTTTTTTCCCCCCAGAGGTTTTTGCCTTAGGGCATGTGTATTCACTGGAGAGAGAGAGAGACAGAGACAATGAGAGGGAAAGTGAGAAATCATCCTGCATGGGGGATGACCATGCCACAGGCCACATTCCCTTCTCCTCTGTTCTACTCCTGGGATCTTGGGCATGCTCACACATGTGCCTCGCGTGATTTTCAAGCCACTGGCTCCAGGACTCAAACCATGGTGGGCCATGTAGGAGCCCAGCGATGTAACTGCTACACCATTTTCTGGTCCTCAGCCTATTTCCTGATCTGTAATAGTATCTGTTCTACCCACATGGCTGACTGTTCGGTTTGATTCCCCACCTGTTGGCCTAAGAAACATGCCTGGTACATGTTCATGGATGCTCAAAATCCTGAAAGGAGGATGGAGGAGGGATTGCCATGTGGCCAAGGTCCCCTGGTGGGGGGAGGTGTTTCTCACTCCTCCCCCACTCTCTGGCAAGTGCACATATAGCAAATTTAAAAAACAGAAATGATTCTTGCTTGGGGCCGGTGTCCTGTATTGTAGTGGTTAAGGGAAGCCAGATCTCACAGCACCCATCAGGCATCTTCCTCAAGTGGGGTGGACTAGGGCAGACAAAAGGAGGGAGGGACTTCAGGGGGAGTCCAAATAGTGACTTCCTGGACAAGAATACTGGAATAACCAGGCCTTTCCCGCTTCGTTAGATCTACTGATAAACTGCATCCACGACCAGGATGATTACTTTTATTTTATGGTAAAGAGACAAGGAGGCAGGGAAGTTAATGGACTTGCCTAAAGTTATCAAGTAACTACTAGATCAATGTTCTTCTTCAAAATAATTTGTGTTAGTTTCATAATTGTTTATCAGCAATACAGACATTTATGTTTCCTTAGATAAGAAAATACTGTTATAGCAGTTAGGAGTTTAAGAAATAATATTAAAGGGTCGGGACCAGCAGTTTGTGTAATGGCTGTCGCTGGACTCCCATGTAAGTCGACCACGGTTTGAGTCTCAACCCAATGGCTTAAACTCACACCGGGCGCATGTGTGTGCGTGTCCAGGATCCCAAGAGGAGAAAGGAGGAGAAGGGATTGTGGCATGGCCATCCCCCCTGGGGGGTGATTTCTTGCTTTCTGTGTCTCTGTCTCTCTGTCTTTTGGGGGAGCGCATGTGCCCTATAGCAAAAACCTCTCCAAAGGAGAAAAAAAGAAAGAGAGAAAGAAAGAAAGAAAGAAAGAAAGAAAGAAAGAAAGAAAGAAAGAAAGAAAGAAAGAAAGAAAGAAAGAAAGAAAGAATATTAAAGGGCAGGCAGGTGGCATGGTAAGGGTGCTGGACTCCCACATGGCCAACAGTGGTTCAAGTCCGGGATCTGGTGACTTACTTTCTCACTTTCTCTCTCTGTCTCCCTATACATAAATAAATAAATAAAGTTAAAATTAAAAAATAATAATTCTAAAAAAAAAAGAATATTAAAGTACTAGCTTCAGTGTGAGAAAGTTCTCAAGGAATTGTAATGACTAAGGACTTCTTGGATCAAAATTTAATCAGACTTCTATTTCAAAAAAACTTATTTGGGCCAGTCCCATAACCTAGTGGTTAAGGGAAGCCAAGTCTCACATGGCCAACTGAAGTTGAAATCCTAGTCTTAGCAGCTTAAAAACACACCAGTGCATGAGTGTGTATGCTTCAAGTCCCAACAGGTTGGAAAAATAGAGGAGAAGGGATTGTGGCATAGCCACACCCCATTAGGGGGTGTTTTCTCCCTCTCTCTTTCATTCTCTCATTCTCTCTCTCTGTCTTCCTGCCACTCTCTGGCAAGTGCATGACAATTAAAAAAGATTATCTATTTTAGGAACAAACTGATGGCATAATGGTTACGTTGCTGGACTCCCACATAGCTGACCGCAGTTCAAGTCCCAAACCCAGTGCTTAAAATTCACACTGGGCATGTGCGCGTGTGTGCCCAAAATCCTGAGAGGAGAATGAAGGAGAAGGGATTGCGGTGAGGTCATCCCCTTGGGGTGATTTCTTTTTTTCTGTCTCCCTGGCAAGCACATGTGCCCTGTAACAAAAATCTCTCTCTCTAAAAAAAAAAGTAGTTTATTCATGGTAGAAGTAACCATGCTCAATGCCCATGCACGAGAGACAGAGATGGAGAGAAAGAGAAAGGAGGGAGATACATTCTCAACAGGGTCTCATCACACTGTAATCCCTTCCTTCAGTCCTTCAGACCATCAGGTTATTGAACACACATGCACCTTGTGTGTTTCAGGTCTGCCAGGTGGAGATCTGAACCCGAAGTTGGCTGTGTGACTTCTGGCATAGCAGGTCAGTATGCCACCAACTGCACACCCAAGGCTGGGCCTCAAACTTGGATATTTTCCATAATATTGATTCTACATCATGGCCTGCTAAAATGGAGTCTGTTAATCCGTTAAACTCATCAAGAAAAAGTGAATGTGAACCATAAGATCTAGAGATAATAGGTCAGATTTCTTCTCTCTGTCTCCTCTCTGACTCACTGGGTCAGTATTTAAGAATTCCGAAAGGACTCGTTGGTGGGAGGGGACTATCAAACCAATGGGCACTGGCCAACCCATGCTATTATATTAACGGAGGCCCCCATTGAGACCTATCAGAAGGTGATGCAGACAACTAACTCCGCTGTGTGCCAGGGACACAGCACAGTCACTGTGAGTCAGGCTCTGTGTGCACCCTTTCTAACAACTGTCCTTCTACAACTCCGTGTTCTGTATCAACATGAACAGTTCCAGAAACAAGTTCCTATTTTTTTTTCTAGTAAGATAACATTGAATAAATCTGTGCTCACCATTCTGCAACTTTTCGTATTGTTCTCTTGTTTCAATAAATTCTTCTTCAAACTAGGTAAAGAATAGAGGTATTATTATAATTTTATTATAATTAAAGTCTTCCCCCCTCCAAAAAAAAAAAAAAAAAAAAAAGTAAATGTATATATCCAAAAGATGTATTAAAATATAAAACTGGAACCAACTGATGGCATAATGGTTACGTTGCTGGACTCCCACATAGCTGACCGCAGTTCAAGTCCCAAACCCAGTGCTTAAAATTCACACTGGGCATGTGCGCGTGTGTGCCCAAAATCCTGAGAGGAGAATGAAGGAGAAGGGATTGCGGTGAGGTCATCCCCTTGGGGTGATTTCTTTTTTTCTGTCTCCCTGGCAAGCACATGTGCCCTGTAACAAAAATCTCTCTCTCTAAAAAAAAAAAGTATTTTATTCATGGTAGAAGTAACCATGCTCAATGCCCATGCACGAGAGACAGAGATGGAGAGAAAGAGAAAGGAGGGAGATACATTCTCAACAGGGTCTCATCACACTGTAATCCCTTCCTTCAGTCCTTCAGACCATCAGGTTATTGAACACACATGCACCTTGTGTGTTTCAGGTCTGCCAGGTGGAGATCTGAACCCGAAGTTGGCTGTGTGACTTCTGGCATAGCAGGTCAGTATGCCACCAACTGCACACCCAAGGCTGGGCCTCAAACTTGGATATTTTCCATAATATTGATTCTACATCATGGCCTGCTAAAATGGAGTCTGTTAATCCGTTAAACTCATCAAGAAAAAGTGAATGTGAACCATAAGATCTAGAGATAATAGGTCAGATTTCTTCTCTCTGTCTCCTCTCTGACTCACTGGGTCAGTATTTAAGAATTCCGAAAGGACTCGTTGGTGGGAGGGGACTATCAAACCAATGGGCACTGGCCAACCCATGCTATTATATTAACGGAGGCCCCCATTGAGACCTATCAGAAGGTGATGCAGACAACTAACTCCGCTGTGTGCCAGGGACACAGCACAGTCACTGTGAGTCAGGCTCTGTGTGCACCCTTTCTAACAACTGTCCTTCTACAACTCCGTGTTCTGTATCAACATGAACAGTTCCAGAAACAAGTTCCTATTTTTTTTTCTAGTAAGATAACATTGAATAAATCTGTGCTCACCATTCTGCAACTTTTCGTATTGTTCTCTTGTTTCAATAAATTCTTCTTCAAACTAGGTAAAGAATAGAGGTATTATTATAATTTTATTATAATTAAAGTCTTCCCCCCTCCAAAAAAAAAAAAAAAGAGTAATGTTCCTGGTATAAAATGCCCAACAATTTCCAGAATCAAATTTTAAAAGAAACCACAAATGCTATCAACTACCATACAGCTGAAATTTCTGACAGGACAGGTGAAGATTAGCTCAGATAGGCATGGGGCCAGCAGCTCTTGTTTTTTGCCTACTTAAAGGACAAGTCCAAGCCTCCATTCTTATTTTTCCTTTTCTTCCCTTTAGCTCTTCTTTCTTGCCAACCTCTTGTTCTTTCTGTTGCTTCCTCAATGATCTGCCCTCCCGCTTCCCTCTCTCTTTTTCTCCTGTCTCTTGTGTAATTCTCCCTCCATATCAGGACAAATCGAATTTCTTCATGATAGTTATTTAAAGCTAGGGATCCAAAGCTTATTACTTAGGCAAGGTTATCATGATTTACTGATGGAGTTTCTGAAGCGTTTGTGAGAGTGATCTTTCTGTGTCCCATATCCTGACGGGGGATGGGGTAAGGTGAGCGGTCCAGGAGAGATGATAATGAATCTTTGTTCTAAAGACACGATATTCAAACAGGGAAAGGGAAGGTTACACCTGCACAAACAAAACAGCACCAAGGCACTCATGAAACTCTGTGGAGAAGTCGTGGGACGGGATTCAGGGTTAAGGAAGCATCCAGTAGGGAGATGTTTCAGGGGAGGGTTCAAAGGGAGACGAGCCTGCTCCTGCTGCGGGGCTGAAGTTTCCAACGGGCAGTCATGGGTATCATATGACTCAGGGGCTGAGGCCAAGCCAAAAAGACCCCAGGAAATCAGCAGGTCCCAGTGGAGAAAATGAGTCAGATGCGGGTCTTCCCTCCTTTATTTTGCCATCTGTCAAGATCTGTTCAGCCCCTGTGAAGCTTTCTGAAAACCACCCCAGTCCCAACTCCTCCCTAATCCCCTTCCCTTCTGCAACTATGATCCCTCCCTCCTTTCTTTTTTTCTTTTTCCAATTTTTGCCATAAGGCATGTGTGCATACCAGAGGGAGAGAGAGTGAGGGAAAGTGAGAAATCACCACCCAGGGGTGATGACCACACCGCAATCCCCTCTCTTCTGCTCTCTTACTGGAATTTTGGGCATGCACATATATGTGCCTGGTGCGATTTTTTGTCACCAGGTCCGGGACTCGAACCACACAGTTATGTGGGATCCAGTACCTTAACCACCACACCGCCCACTGGCCCCCCTCCCTCATTTCTTAAAAGAAAGTTTGAAAGTTTTGTAGGCCCCTGGAGGCACCATAATGAATTTTGAAAGGAAAAAGAAACCACTTCAATTCCACTCAAATTGCCCTCCTTCCTTCTCACAATCAGGGACCAACCTCAACTCCAGCTGAAGCCAGCAGCCAGCGGATCGACTCCATCCTGCCCCTGCCACAGAAGTAGTAGAGCTTGGGTTTGGCCGCCATAACACCTGGCTCAGGGCTTTCTAAAGGGTAAAATGTAAATAAGAAATAACACACATCATATGGTATGTCTCCATTTACAGCATTTCCAAAGGCGGTAAAACAAACCAATCTAGAGGGTTGTAGGCCGTCCTTGGGCCCCATCAATCTACTATAATCTGAGAATCGCTGTGATATAAAGACAATTCACTAACCAAAATGCCCTGATTAGAGAAACTATATTTAGGTTCAATGACTTCCTACTAACAGACCTTGAAATACGATTGGATGTTGGCAAGGCAAAAGAAGCTGAGCAATTGACAAATGTTTTGCGCTCTCACTCAGAGGACCCCCTGCAGGTCTCCACCCTGCTGCTTTCAGACAAAAACAAAGCAATATGGGGCTGGTGACGTTAGGGATCAGGTCTTGTGTGGGCAGCTCCGTCCCTGTACTGCCTTCCAGTGCGCAGAGCTCCAACCATTTTGACCCCTCTCGCTGCTCTGGGTGACAGGGAGAAGGCTGTAAATCTGGCTGAGGTTGTCTGGTTAGTTCATGTGGTTCTGTCTTCCCCAAATCTCTAATAAGACCACTTTCTGCTTAAATCAAATTCTAAGATGAAAGACTATGTGCATAGGAAGGACTGCTGGAACACCTTCTGTAAGATTTCTGTTCTGAGTCTCCAAGGTAGCCAAGATGAATGTGAGTCTTTGGTTTACCCTGTGGATCCCAATAAGGTAATTTCTGGTGGCCTTTAGGAAGCTGGTTTTAAGCAGTGGTTTCTTAAAATGCAGGCTGGTAGGCCAGCAGGTGGCTTAATGGTTAAAGTGCTGGACTCCCACAGAGTTGGCCATGGTTTGAGTCCCAGACCCAGCAGCTTGAAAGTCACACTAGGCGTGGGTGCATGTGTGTCCAAAATTCCAAGAGGAAACCGGAAAAGAAGAGATGGTGGTGTGGATGGCGGGGGCCCCATAGGCAGAGCCTAAAGAGCTGCCTCTCATGTCTAAGTAGGGCTTGGGTGAGAAGAGCTGCAGGCAAGGCTACAGCTATGAACTTGAGCTTTCAACTGTGTTTGTTGTGCTGGTTTGTGCTGTTTTTGCTTTCAATCTCTCTGCTATAGTACCCCGTAAGGGTAAGATAACACCCCCAGCCTTACTGTAACTTTTACAATAATACCAACTGGTAATCCTAAAAGAATGCAGACCCCTAAGGTGGCAGTGAATGGGAATTAGTTCGTGAGACTCACCCCACCTGCCTGGAAAACAACAATAAAGAATGCTGAAGTCTCTCTCAGAGTCACATGTATACAATAACCTTTAGGACAATCATTAAGCTGCTCACAAGACCACATTCCTTTCCCATGTGGGCATTAGGCTCATCCTCTTAGCTGTAGATTACCCCAGAGATAATATAGATGTTCCACTTTAGTATATATTAACCATGTCTTTACTTAACCAAATAAGATTTCTATTTAGGCCTCCAGCCTGGGGCTGAAGTTATCAAGCTGGCCTGGGAATGAAGTTATCAAGCTTGCTGAAAACCCCTCATTCAAAAGGCCCTACCTGGTAATCAAGATCTAAGAAGAAAATGTATCAGACAAATGGATTCTCTCACCTGGAGGACTGTGACTGTTTATACCTGATCAAACAGAACAGACATCATATTTTATGACTGTTATTCCTGAACAGACATCATGTTTTATGATTGTTATTCCTATGTTTTGAATACCTTGTTTTTTTACAGTAAAATCTTTTACCTCCCCTTCACTCCTCCTACTCCTGTAAACATCCCTCAATAAATATGTATGTCTCCTAGCCATAGACACTGCAGTCATGAGCTTGCTCTGACTGTAGTCAGCTGAGAACATGCTGAAGAGCATAGAGGTCTCTGCCTGATTTCTTTTCACCTGCGTCGCCTCTGTCGAGTCAGCCCACCCCAGCTGGAGCAGGTCTCCAGCATGTGGCCACTCTCCCTGGAGAGCGATTTCTCACTTTCTCTCTCTCCTCGGTTTTCATTGGTGAGTACTAAC